AATGTGGCGATGGCGGCGCAGCCCGGCGGCGGCAAGGCAGCCGTGCGCTGCGGCTGCCGCGGCGCCTGCACCCGGAACTGCAGCTGCAAGAAGAATGGTGCGCGGTGTGGGCGGCACTGTGGCTGTATAACCGGTAAGGGTGGCAATTGCAAGAACCATTGAAGAAGTGTGCCTTGTACGCTTTGCCGTCTCCGCTGAAAGGTGCTGCCGCCTGTGGCGGCTTCATATTTCCTGTTCATTTCTGTTGTTCGGTCTCTCTGTTCGTGTTGGTTGGCTTGTAAGAGTTGTATTTCTGACGCTAGAGAGGTGAGATGACAGCGGGAGCGTTGAAGCGTGCATGCCATCACGTGTGCAAGCAGCCCCGCTCCGCCCCGCTCAACCCTCAAACATGGCTCTATGGGGTCAGTTCACGTATGGGAGGGGAGCGCCGCGCGGGCTGCCAGGAGCGAGCGGGGGCGGGGGTTGCCCAATCGGGAGGGTGCCACATCAGTGGGCAACACATCCCACCTTTAATTACACCCTGTTCGCTGCCCCTCCCTCGTTTGCACGTCCGATTTGCAGGCAGTGTATCGACATGCAGGACAAGGACTGAACCATGAGCGGTGCAGCGAGAGCTGTGGCTTGTGCAGCTCTGGCGCTGCTCCTGCTGCTGGGCTCGACAGTGCCTGCTTCAGCCGCCCCACATGGAGGTGAGGATGGCGGGCGGGGGCGAGCCATTGCATCCCCTTTCGCTCAGCTTCCATCATGCCCGCGAGTCAGGCATGGCCTCTTTCGTCGTCCTTCGCATGCGTCATCTGCCAAAGGGCCCGGGAAGCCGGCGGCGGCGCCGCCCCGTTACCCACCCACCCACCTCGCCGACTGTGCCACCCCGCCGCCCCAGCGGCCTTGCGCACCCCCGCCGCCGCCGCCCCTCCTGAGCCGCCGCCCCACTGCCTCACACAGGCCCCCGCCGCCTGCTGGCCAAGCCCGACGGCAAGCAGCCGTGGAAGAACGCGCCGCCCGCCAACATGACGGTCATCATCCACTTCAACCAGCTTGCCCAGCTCGCCATCCGCTCCACCAGCACCGGCCTGCAGCTGGGCTCCAAGTTCATGGCACTGGTGGCGCTGGCGCAGCGCACCGCCGTGCAGCGCTTCGCGCGGCCCGACGTGCAGGTGGCGGCGGCGGCGTACGCGGGCCACGGCGTCCTCACCCGCTTCTTCCCCCTGCAAAGCGCCACCTTTGACGCCGTCATGCGCGGCTACACCGCGGGGCTGACCGCCGCGCAGCGCGCCACCGTGGCGGCCAGGGCGGCCAACATCGCGCAGAGGATCGTGGCGCAGAGGTGGGGGTGCAGGGGCTGGCTGGGGCTGCGCCATCCATCCACACAGGGCCAGCGCTGTGGAAAGCGCGGCGCTGCCACAGTGTGCGGGCGCCGCTGTGCGGGGCATGGGCCAGCCGCCCGCGCCGGCCTCCCCAGCTCAGCTGCCCTGCTGTGTGCCCCTTCCGTCCCGCCTGCAGCCTGACAGATGGGCTGTCCTCCTGGGCGGACTGGTAAGTTTTTCTAAACTTTGTTCCTCAAGAGTTATTGATTGACTTTTTTTCTTTTTCATTAGAGCGTTTTTTTATGTTGCAGGTATTTCCCACCGAATGGCTCCGAGCCCGCCGGAGTCTACAGGTTCACCTCACCCACCCAGACCTTCTCCCTGCTGCCCCAGCTCTCCCACACCCGCCCGCTCATCATCCCTGGCCCCGAGCAGGCACGCCCCGCTGCACGCCCGCCGCAGCGCTGCCTGTGTCGAGTCCCAGAGCTGCTGCCTTGGGGCGCCCGCTGCTGCGCTGCCGGCTGCCGTGTGATGCGGGACGCATGCTGGATGCGCCGCCGGCTGCCGCCCGCCGACCTTTCGCACCCTGGCCCCTGCCTCCTCCCCTCCCTGCAGTTTGAGCGGGGCGGGCCTCTGGACATCAACGGCACAGCCTTTGCAGCTGAGCTGGAGGAGGTGAAGCAAGTGGGGGGCGTGGGATACCAGGGCGTCACCGCCTTCACTGTGGAGACCGCCCAGTTCTGGTTCAACGGCGCAGGCAAGCGCGGCGACCCAGCTGGCGCTGCTGACCTGCTGGCCTGCTGGCGTTGCTGCCGACCTGCCGCCCTCGCCTATCACACTTCACCCACCCATACCCTCCCACGCCCCCGCAGGCACGTCCTCTTCCGCGGGCCAGTGGTCTGATGTGGCGGCCAGCCTGCTGCCGCTGGACACCTCGCCCTACGCCGCCGCCGACCTGCTGTACCGTCTGAACGCCGCCATGTTTGATGCCTCGGTGGTGTGCTGGCGCTCCAAGTACGGCTTCGACTTCTGGCGCCCCATCACCGCCATCAGGCAAGGCGGCCGCTGGCGCGGGTGGGCCGTGCGGCGTGCGCGGGCTGGGCAGGCAGGCCCGGGCTGAGCGGTGCACGCTGGCAGGCACAGCTGAGCAGGGCGGCCCCAGCGGGGCAGGCTGGGCGGGGAATAGATGATGAAAACGGCGGCAGCGCTGCTGTGTGCATGTGATCGCGCTATGCATGCCATGACCTCCTCCTTCCCCCCCGTTTGCCCTGCGCCGTGTGCCGTGCTGCAGAGCTCTGGCAGCTGTGGGCAGCCCTGATGCAACCTGGGCGCCAATCCTGGCCCCCACGCCTGCCCACCCCGAGCACCCGTCGGGCCACTCGTGTGCAGGCGGCGCGGCTGGCCGCATTCTGCGGAACTATTGGGGGACCGACAACAAGGTGCGGCCCGCTGCTGGCCCTGCGCCGGGCCGCTTCCTTGCTGCACGCGTGCCAGGCACGGTGTTTACCGCGCCCCTGCCTGCCCGCTCCCTGCTGCCTGCCCACCTGCCCGGTGTGGCGGCGCCCTGCTCCCCGCGCTCTGCCCTGCCCGCAGCAATTCATAGTCGGCTCGGAGTGGCCCATCTGGACGGACCCCACACTGCCCAACCGCCAGTACAACTCCTTCACAGAGGTACGCCTGGCTTGCTGGCTTCCCTGCCTCACCAAGTGCCTGCCGCCCTGCTGTACAGTGCTGTGGGGCCCACCACTTCGCTACACCGCTCTCTGCTGCGCATGGGATGCTGCACACTTTGCACTTTGCGCAGCCTCAACGCCTGCGCCTCCCCACTGCCCTGTTACTGCAGGCGGTGGAAGAGGGCATGGTCAGCCGCATCTATGCGGGTGTGCACTATCGGCGAGCGGTCAATGTGGGCCGCGACATTGGGGAAGCAGTGGGCGCGTATGTGTGGAGCTCGCCAGGCCCCAGGCCCTCCACCGTCACCAGCAGCGCCTTTGCCCTTGATGACACCGACTGAGGCCCGCTGAGGCCGAAGCCTCAATGCCGCACCGTGAGTGCGTGGCGCTGCCTACGTGCCGTTTTTCTCGGGGCGCTGCCTATGGTAAGCACCGCCCTGGTTTTTCTTTACATGCTGGAGTGGAAAGCAGCTGAGGGACCTCACACCTTGATCGAATGGGGCTTCCCTGGCTTCATCCACATTCAAATGCCCAGCAATGCGTTCGGGACTTGTACTTGACGCTTCCTCTGCCCACCTTTGCGCACTGGACCGACCCGTGACGCCCGCTTGCCGGCATGGTTCGATACCCTCCTACCACTACTGCTCATCACTGCTTTTAGTTCAACGTTTGCTACCATTTGCAAGATTGTCCCCACGCGGAGCTCGTGTGATTTTCCAAGCCCACCCGTCACCCCTTCATCACGTACTCTCGCTTACCCGCGCTCACCCCATTCTATGATTCCCAAATGACTCAGCAAGGTGTTTGTTGTTTCTGTTTCGTGCTTTGGTTCTTTGGCTTGCAGCCAGTTGTAATCTGACTCGCTCTCCATGCAACCGTTCCTGCACTGTGGCCTGCCGCACGTCGGCGCCCTGTCAGCAGTGCCATGGGGGACGTCCTGCCCACAGCCAAAGCGTCTGGCGCCGCTCAACGAGACGTGCGTAGGTGTCGAGCCCTTGCTTGAGCTTGGCTGCTTGAGCGCCCCCACTGGTTCTTACAGACATGGCGGGGACCTGCTGAGCACCAGTGGGCAGCAGAGGGACAGAATGACAGTCACGCGCCGCAGCAGTGCAGCTGGAAGGGTGGAGGAGGGGCGCCAGCGGGCCGGGGTGAGAGGCCAAAAACCCTGGCTGCGTTCGACAGAGCGCCCTGCACTTGGAGCTGTGCCCTGCACTTGGAGCTGTCGGGCATTCCCACTGGGCTGCCACATGAACCACCGCCAGCGCAATTGACGGTGCCGCACCAGTAGAGACCGCCGCCACGACCCGCCGCCCAACCAGTGCCAGGTGCAATGTACTGACCCGCAGGATGAGGAGCCTGCCCCCGACGATTCCCTTGGCGAAGCTTTCCACGACGCTGGTGCGCCACGCGCTTGCTGCCCTCGCCTGCCCCGGTTGTGGTGGCATGCTGCTGGTCCGCAGCTGCTGCCGTGGGTTGCTCCATCCCTCGGCGCTCGCGCACCCCGCTGCCCGCGTGTGCGCAGAGGAGGAGGCACACACATCCCCGGAGGGCTCAGCTGAAGGCAGCTCCAGTGGGGAGGAGGAGTATGTGGTGGAGGAGGAGGAGGCGGCGGCCCTGTGGAGCGGCTCCGATGGGGAGGAGGATGTGTATGGCCTCACCTCGGACCCCTCGGCCGCAGCCGACGCCTACAGGAGCCAGCTGGCGCGCTTCCCGCTGCTCCGAGATTTCGTGCCTCCTGCCATGCAGCACGAGCTGGCTGCAGAGCTGAGGTGAGGCTTGCCGTGTGGCAGGCTGCAGCCACCACCACACATGTTCTGCTCCTGCTCCCCGCGCTGTGCCTGGCGCCTGCCGGTGTGCCTGCCTGCCCCGCCGCCCACCCCTGCCCTGCCCTGCCTGCTGCCTGCTTGCTGCAGCATGCGCTCTGCAGCAGCCAGCTCGCGAGGGATGCCGCACCCGCTGGCGCGCGGCCCCAGCGCCAACAGCCTGGGCGCGGGCGGCAGCGGCGGCGGCGACACCGGCGGCAGCAGCGGCGGCGCCGTCACCGATGCCAGGAGCCCCAGCCGGCGCCACCCGCCGCCCGCCAGCGGCAGCTTGGGGGCCGGCGAGGCGCGGCACGCAGGCCCCCAGTCCCGCCGCCGCCTGAACCCCGCCCACGCGCTGCTTCTGCGTGAAGCCAGGCAGGGCAGCGGCGGCGGTTGCATGCTGCCAGAGCAGGTGGGCTGGTGTGACGGGCAGGTGGCTGCCACAGCTGGCCCCATGCTTCTACAGCATGCCTGCTGCGTGCCACCTTCAGCAGAGAAGAAGGCTTCATTCCGCGGCCCTGCGTGCCCGTCTGCGCCGTCGATCACTGCAGCGCCCTCCCCTTGCCAAACACTGTACCCAAGCCCACACACATCACCCCGATTGCCCCGCCGCTGCCGCGTCCCGCAGTGCGCCCACTTTGCGGCCTTCCACCGCCTGCCCAGCACCCCCACGCGGGTGGTGGACCGACGGACCAGCCGCGGCTACATCGGCCAGTTCACCGCCGATGGGAACATCTTCATCGCCGCGTTTCAGCACGAGCGCAAGATCCGGCTGTACGAGGTGCGGCGGCGCCTGCTGCTGTCGCAGGGGTTTTCCTGTGCTGCTGCCGCCGCTGCGTGGGGCCTTGCTTGAAACCCTCGAGCGACACATGGCGCCAGCACAGCCTTGCGCTGCGCACCACCAGGAATCAATGAATCCGATTAATCTGGTTGTGCAGGTGCACTACGGCTGGCGCCTGGTTAAAGACATCCACGCGCGGGGCCTGCAGTGGACAGTCACGGGTGGGGTGTGCCATTAGGCCTGCCGGCGCCAGGTGTTATGTGCACCACTGCTCGCTGCTGCCTCCCCACCCACACCAACCCTTTGTGTTCACACCTGTTGCCTCCTTTGCGTGCTGCCCATTCCTGCCGCCACCCCCCCGTGCAGACACCGCCCTCAGCTCCGACAACCGCTTCCTGCTCTACTCCTCCATCACCCCGGAGGTCCACCTGGCGAGTTGGGCGGCACGCCGCCCTGCCAAAGCATAGCACACACGCTTCGCCTGGGCGCCCGCTTGTACCCTGGCACCACCACCACCACCACCACCACCGCGCTTCACCGCCATGCTGCCATCACCCAGGCATGCATGTTTCACCCAATTTGTAGCCTGCTGGCGCTCCCCTGGCCGCAGGTCACCATCGGCGGCAGCGGCGGCGTGGAGTCGGTGGCCAATGTGACCGACATCCACGAAACGCTCGACTTCCTGTCCGGTGAACGCAGGCTGTGCATGCCTGCGCGTGTATGTGTGTGGTGGCATGGGGCGGGGTGGTGCTTGTGATGTCGCTGCTGGGGCTGTGGCAGCCTCAAGGGTTGTTACCAGACTCGCGAGGGCATGCCAGCTGCACTGACGCTGCGCCCTCCTGCTGAGTTCTGGCCCTTGCCGACCTCAGCTGCCATCCCGACCCCCCGCAGGCCAGCGCCAGCAGCGCCTGGGCATCTGGAGCATCCAGTGGAGCGCCGACAGCCGGGAGATTGTGGCGGGGACGTCCGACCCGGGGCTGCGCATCTTTGACATGATGCAGGTGCAGCGCAGGGAGGCTGCCGCAGCTGCTGGCAGGGCGTTCTTCGATGTTCTCGCTGCTGCTGCTGCTGCTGCTGCTGCTGCTGCTGCTGCTGCTGCTGCTGCCGCCGCCGCTGCTGCTGCCACTGCCGCTGGCGGTACGTGGCGGTGGTTGAAATTGGTAAGTAACAGAGCAAAAGGAGGGTTTGAGATCAAAGAAAACCACGCTACAGCAGCTCAACTGCCTTGCCTCTGGTGCCAGCCTGCAGTTCAAGACAGTCGCATCAGCAGGCGGGCACGAGGACGACGGTGAGAGCAGGGATGCAAGAGCTTGCGTGCTTCGCACTGCTCCTGGATTTGGAGGCGCCTTTGTTGGATCAGTCCCCTGTTGGCTCCTTACACGTGTGCAGCATCGCAACAGCCATCCCTCACATTCGCTGCCTGCTTTTCCTGCAGTGAACGCTGTGGCGTATGCCGAGCGCGACTCGCCCAACCTCATTTTCTCAGGCTCAGACGACACCTTTGTCAAGGTGTGGCCTGCGTTGCGGGTGGGGGTGTCTCTCCAGCTGGCCGCAGGGACAGATGAACGTGGGAGGCTGGCAGAATTTGTTCTCTCTGCCGCGTTCTGGTGCGCCCCGGCTGCTGTGCTCACCTGGCTGACCTGGCCCATGCCCTGTGGCCTCCCTGGCTGCAGGTGTGGGACAGGCGCACGCTGGACGCCAGCGGGCGGCGTTCCCGCCCCGCGGGCGTGTTTGTGGGGCACACCGAGGGGGTGACCCACCTAGACTCAAAGGTGGGGCGGCTGCCTGGGCTGGGGTGGCTGCGGGTGTGCAGGTGCTACAGCGCGCTCCACGATCGGGCACAGCCTGCGTGGTCCGACCAACTGGGTTTGGTACAAAACCTGTGTTTGATGTTCTGCGCTGGCGAGCAGGGCGACGGCCGCTACGTCATCTCCAATTCAAAGGACCAGTCCATCAAGCTGTGGGACACGCGGTGAGGTGCCACGCCCCTGGGCGCTGGGCTTCCGACGGCAGCGATGGGCTGCCGCCGAGGCCGCCGCCGAGGCTGGGCTGGGCTGCCACGGTGGCTATGAAGCGCGTGCGTGTAGTACGCCGTCCCTGCACGCAAACACCCGGCCCAGCATGTCCCACCTCACAAATTCACCGCCTTGCCCCTTCCCCTCCTGCGCCTTGTCCCGCAGCATGATGGCCGGCGAGAAGGAGGCGCGGCGGCTGAGCCGGGACGCCCCTTCCTTCCACTGGGATTACCGCTGGATGGACTTCCCGGGGCGGGGGCGCGTGGTGCAGCACCCGCACTGCGCCGCGGTACAGACGTACCGCGGCCACACCGTGCTGTCCACCCTCATCAGGCGAGCGCGCGCTGGAAGCCAGCTTGCAGCCAGCTGTTAGCCTGTAGCTGGCTTGTTGCCGGTGCTAGCGTGTGGGTGGGATGGGAAGGACGTTGTGGGGCGAGGGGTCGCCAGGTCGGGGCGCGCTGGCGCCGCAGTGCTGGGCTGGCCAGGCGGTTCGCCCCCTGCACATCACCTTTACCGCCGTACACTGCCGGCTGCCCTGCAGGTCATACTGGTCCCCAGCCGCCACCACCGGCCAGCGCTACATTTACACGGGCAGCTTTGACGGCAGGGTGCACGTGTATGGTGAGCGTGCTGAGAGAGGGGTTTCGCAGGCTGAGGGAGGGCTGAGGGAGGGGTTGCCAGTGTTTTGTTGGTGTTTTGTTGGTGTGGAAGGAGAGAGAGAGGGGGTGTTTGTGCTGTTGGCGCAGGTTGAGTTGTTGCTTCTGCGCATCGCAACAGTCCTCCTGACCGTCGTTTTCCTTCTGCCTGCCTGGCGTCTCCTCGGTTGTCCGCCTGCAGACGCCATCACCGCACAGGCGGTGGCCAAGCTTGGCGGGTACCACCGCGAGTGAGCACAGCCCCACACGTGCATGCCTGCCTGCACCAGAGGAATGCAAACAAGCATGAAGAGCACGCACGCCCTGGCAATGCGACCCACATTTTGCTGAGCGCCGGCTGCAAAGTCCCCTGCCGCCCCTGCCCACACCATGTCTGCAGGTGTGTGCGTGACTGCAGCTGGCACCCCTACCTGCCGCTGCTGGCCACTGTGTCGTTTGACGGCAGTGTGACGACCTGGGAGCCAGAGGTTCCTGGAGAGGCCGAGGCGGCCAGGGAGGAGGCGGCGGCCGCGGCAGACGCAGCGCACCCAGGCAGCGGCCGGCGCGTCGCCAAGGGCGGCCGCCAGCGCCACCTGCCGGCGCCGATGGGCGACCAGCACGCCTGGTGAGGCGGACCCGGCATGGCTGGCGCATGCACCAACGTTGGTTGGTTCAACAGCATAGTGTGGCCGCCGTTTATCCCCCAACGGTACTTTCCATTGCATTTGCACATCCAGGCCCCATGTATTTTTTACACCTTTCCTCCAGTCTGCATTGTTTGCTACATCTTCTGTTGTACCTTCCTCCCAGGCGCCACACAGCTACAAGTAGCATGATTAAAGATAGGAAACAATACAAACCGGTGGATGTATGAAGAAGGGGCTCCAATGCCTGCTTCAAGAGCCAGGACATTCAAACTGGGCTGTGTCGTTGCTGTGGCGGTTTCACATCACCGCTTGCACCGCCTGCAGCTTTACTGCAGGAAGCAGAGGGGCGGGGAGATAAGGAGAGGGATCAGAAGCGCGGGGAGCGGCCTCCAAGGCGCATGCTTGGCCGTGCAGCGGGCGAGAGCGAGGCGGGCGGGTGGCACGCCGACGTACCACGGAAGAAGCCAGGAAGGTGTACAGAGCCTCGAAGGCCGGAGGGGGCGGCACCGAGCCCCCCAGAATTGCCTGCACTTGAGTGCAGAGGGCATGCAAGGGTCACCCGACCGCGACCAGCCCAGCCTGCACGCTGGCAGACACGATGCGCCCGTGCGAGCGGCCGCTGCTGAGCAGGCACGCCGCTCCCGCTGCGGGGCGGGGCAGGCGCACCTCGGGTGTGGCCTGTGCGCCGTACAGGCTGTGGTTGGTCTCCTCATCCACCGCGTGCTTCATGCCTGCGGGCGGTGGGTGGAGGAGCACCACACGAGCCGGCATGGGTCACAGGCGTGAGCGGGTGGGGACCACCGCTCCGAAGCAAATTGGGGCTTGTCCAAGCCTGCCAATAGAGATGCTGCTGCGGGGCGTCCGCCTTCGTTGCACAGCGAGCCCCCTGCCAGCCGTGCGTCCCCGCTGCATGCACGCTGCCCATGAGTGCTGTCTGCCGACGGCTGATGGCGGACGCCTTGGCTGCCTGGTTCCCAGCAGCCCCGTCGCGGTGGCGGGCATCTGTGTTGTGGGAACCAAGCAGCCAAGCAGCCCGCTGTGGGACGTACCCTGATAGCTGAAGTCGATGATGGCGCCACTGGATATCGAGTACGAGAAGTCGGATCCAAAGTCGGAAGTGACGGAAGGGGTGCTGGTGTGGGCTGCCACTGCGGCAGGATGGCATGAGGCCAGTGTGCGGGCTGGCAGGAGGCGGTACCGGCGGTAACACTGGCTCTGCACCCAGCGCCCGCCCTGCAGCGGTCATGCCAGGCGCTGAGGCAGCCAGGCGCACACGCGCTGCAGCCCCGCACCTGTGCCTGCTGCCGCCCCAACCTCAGACCCAAACTCCCGGCTGGCCTTCGTGAAGCGCTCTACGGATGCGGGGGAGGCCAGCACGATGCAAGACTCGATCTCAGTGAAGCCCACGGTGGCGCCCACACCCGCGCCGGATATGGTCACGAACAGTGGCGCAGACCAGCCGGCCTGCAGGGGTGGGGTAGGGGGAGCAGCGCTGTGGTGAGGTGGTCCTCACATCATGGTGCGCCTGGGCCCAGGGGCATGTCTCCCGCGCTGCTGGACCCATGCAGCGCTCCTGCTGCGGCAGCGGGCAGCCCCACCGCGGTCTTGGCAATCACAAAGCCGCGGCCCTTCTCCAGGGTGATGCCCACGCCAAACTGCAGGTGACGGCGCTGGCAGCACAGCCTGAGGCGCGCAGCAGCGGGGATGCAGCTGTGGCACATGCCCTTGGAGAGTGGCCTACGCCGCGGGGCGACTATACCAGACTATGAGTCAGGGCCAGTCCAGCACCCACCTTGCCAACAAAGGTGAAGGCCAGGCCGGCCGCACGCTTGAATTCACTGCACAAGTCCAGATTGAGCGATCAGTATCATGCAATGCCACCAATATCGGAGCTGCTTGCAAGCCATCGCAGCAGGAAGGCATGGCCTGCTCAAGCTGCCTACTGGAGTGGCTAATGAAGATGCCTGCACCCCCTCGTTACCTCGTAAACATGCGCCCCCCGAACAGCTGCCCAGCTACCACGCCCTTGCCACCAAAGCCTTTGCCATCGGGCTCAACACCCGCGTCCTTGCTGGTGAGGTTGCGCGCAAGCACCACCGAGCGCTCAGCCAGCTCCAGGGCATTGGTGGTCACCTTGTCCGCCATGGCTGCTGCAGCACAGAGGCGGGCGAGGGAGGCTACTTTTGAGCCAGGTTGGTGAGGTGAACCATGGCGGCGGCAACCATGCCCATCCACGCATCAGATGAACCCCTGTCGGCGCTTGTTTCGCAACATGCCACACAACCAGTGCTGGAGCGGCACGCGCACCTGAACCGAGTTGCAAGGGTTCGTGGTCGGCCGGCTGAGCAGGTAGGCCTCCCGGTAAGGATGTGCCCCATGATGGGCATGATGGCCCCCCACCTGGAGGGTCATTGGGGACATCATCCTCAATCATGCATCATTCTCCCTCCCGTTTGTTCTGTTGGCATCCCAGCAACCGTAATACGCTTTTCCAACGAACTCAACCCCCATGAGCACACATGAGCATGGTGCCCAGTCCGGCAGCAAGGCTCTAGGTCCAACGCCGCTATTGAGCGGTGCAGCTAACCAAGCTAAGCAGCTGAAGTCGCGCTTCAACTCGTGGGAAAGGTTTTGTGAAGCACATCCACAGGCGCGCGTCGCCATCGCCGTTCAGTCAGGCTACTCCCACGAGATCAAGTTCTTTTGCCATTCCATCGTGTTCTGGGAGGAGTTCAAGGACTTCTTCACTGAGCGGTGCGCCGCCGCCGGCAGCCGCTCCGAGCGGTCGCGGCTGAAGGGCGAGCTGGGCAAAGCAGGCATTGATTTCAGCAAGTTTCTGGCTTTGGCAATAGACCTGTGGAAGGCAGAAGGTGTTATCTCTCAGTTACAGGCAGATGTCATGATCAAGCTGGCAACGGGCACTGCATTCGACACGGATGGTAAGCCGGGCTGCCT